TTTACCATTAAAGGATAAATTCTACAGGCACTCCGGTCCACGACTCCCCCTCTACTCTACCACGGACCTGTCTTGGCTCACGCTCCACCCAAGGAGATCCCTCAAGCCCATTACGGACCAACAGAGGACCCGCAATATAAAATACCGATGGGGCATCCCTTTCGCCCTAGTCACAACTCATAAAGGAAGCACACACACCATCACCACATACCAAGACGTCCATCCATTCATCAGAGCCATGGAACTGAATAAAGTACAGGTGATGGACTGGTACATCCCGAACCTGACATCCAATGCTCACCCACTGCCTCAACGACAAAGAGGGAGAACCCCCCTAAAGAAGAGACAAACAGATCAAGCAGACCACAACCAGCACTAAGCATACTACAGATCCCAGCCAAAATAACACCATACCCAAATTACCCTACACAATACGTCTGTTCTGTCCTCCAGACTTTATTCAGTATATTTGTGTTTTGTTATTTAGAACAACATGTTTGGTTCCTTTACTTACACCAGCTAGTTATGTAGAGCTCAGGCACCATCTACTGTTCCTTTTTGGTTTAGCTCTAGTTCTGCATATATTGTAACTCAGGAGGTTTAAATAGTTGTTAGAAAGCACAGCATTATGGGCAGAACTTGTACAGGAAGTGTATCAGCCTCCATCTTGGGAAGATACAGTAAGCAGCAAGTCATGTACTTCTCATCCCTAGCCATCACCCCTTAGAGTTCTTGTTATCCTACCCTGTATTATTGATCATTGTTGCTTTGTTGTATGCAATTCTGTACTGATTGATGTTTATTTCTACCATTTGTAGTTTCACCTGGCTTGTTCTAATAAATTTGAGATCAAAGAAATATGGTATCTGAAGTTTATGGAGCAGGAAGGTTTAACTCTCTGTACTAGAGACAGAACAACGTCTGCTCCCATGAACAACCAGAACATCCAAGACAATCTCCAAATGTTCCTGAGGCCTCTGAGATACGCCCAACCTTTTTTCCACACACCGTAACCGAGTCCACCGCTAACGATACCGCACACACGGAAGATCCTGTCTGCACCACAGGAAAAATGCAAGTACAACTTTCATTGACGCCCCAGGAGGAAGCGGTTAGGGTCCCACGAGACAAGGAGCAAACCTAGACCTCCACGACTTATCTCCCCTTCCCACACACAGGACTTAAAGCCCAAAAGAAAGCAACCATCACGACCCACTTACCGCAACAGCCTGACTCAGAGGGACAGTCGAGTCCAGGGGAACAGGCAGGCCACTTTTGAACAGTATTGAACTCTTGTACCTCGCTATGTTTTATTATTAACACACTATTCAAAGAGAACTAAGGAAAACATAACAAACCCCCCCCCACTCCAAAAAAAAAAGAGAGAACAGACTGTCCGGGACTCTAATCCATAATATCCATCCCTAGATGATCCTGACTTTGATTGGCACAGGTCGTATGTCAATATGTAATGTTCTTTCTTAATGACCAGGTCACACAATTACCATTACACGAGGGCTCTTATATCACCTCCCATCCCCCTCCTATCGCTCACCTTACACATGGAACATGTACACTTCACTGTCCCTGGGAACAGAGACCATAATCGCACAATGCCTCGATACACCAAAACGCATACACACTCCGGTTATTTGGAGGGGCACCTGACAGCCCACACCGATACCTCTCTTGCATACTCACCGTCCTTACCTACCACCCGCTGGCCTCCTAGGTAAAGAGACCCAGCTGTAACTAACACCCAGCCACTACAGCACAAAGCGTAACCGTAGACGGATACCATGGCTGCACCTACCTAAATCACTGAAAATCAACCCGAGCCAAGGCATTTCCTCCCCCATTCCCTGCCCCCCCATTGAAACCAGATCCATGTTGACTCTCAGAAATCTCAGGGATCAACGCCAGTGATCATTTCAATCGACATACCAGTCGAACGCAACACAGCAGAGTATTTCTGCTCATTGTTATATTCTTGTATATAGTTATTGTTGTTTTATATTTTTGTATTTACTTGCAATATATTGTGACATTACTGCCCCTACGGGTCAGCCCTCGTTGTCTGGGCAGACACAAAAGACACACTCACACGGCTCAATCACGAACGTACACATGACTACCATCACACTGCTTTCCCAAAACACCAGGGGATTGAATACCCCAGAAAAGAGGTGGCTAGCATTAAGGAAATCACATCGCCTTAAAGCCAACATGATATTTTACCAGGAAACGCACTTTCGCAAAGACGCGGCACCTTCCCTTAGAGATAGACACTACCCTATGGGTTATTTTAGCAATTACACGGCAGCCAAAGCAATAGGGGTGGCTGTCCTCATAGGGGCAAACCTACCCTTTCAATATAAGGCACACAATACAGATGACAATGGCAGGCATTTGTTTGTGAAGGGGCTGATAGGAAATACCATGGTGACATTCGCAAATCGATACCTCCCCAACAAAAAGCCAAGTCAGTCCCTACGCAAAATTCTTAATGCCTTGGAAAGCTTCATAAAGGGCCTACTGATGTTAGGGGGAGACCTTAACATATCCCTAGATAGCGACCTGGATTCAACCTCCACAGCAATCACCTACCAGACCAACACACGCAAAAAACTACAATCTTTGTTGGATAGGGCACAGCTATACGGTAGCCGGCGAATCACAAACCCCACAACCAGGGATTACTTGTTCTATTCCCAGGCGAGGGGCTCATACTCGAGAATAGATATTATATTCCTGCAACACCGATTCCTTCACCTCATCTCACGCTGTTCATACGGTCCAATCACCTGGTCAGACCACGCTCCCCTGTCTTTTGCTGTACACATCCCACCCTCCACCCCGCCAGAACCCAATGGAAGTTAAATGACACCCTTCTCAATGACAAAACTCTAGTGACCCAAATTAGAGACACCATAGATCAACACTTTACACAGAACACCTCCCCAGACTCAACCTACCCAATGATTTGGGAGGCACACAAGAATGTAATTAGAGGCAAAATACAGCTAGCCTCAGCACACAAGCGAAGGAAGGAAGAAAGGACCACAAAACTCATGGCAGAAATACGGACATTCGAATCCACACACAAATCGAACCTCAACCTTGCCACAAATAAAACACTATTGGATAAACGCTCAGAACTAGCCACCCTTAACGGAGCACAAATCAAAAAGAGCCTTCTCCTTACCAAACACCGGTATTACACCCAAGGGAGTAAGGGGAGATGATTATTAGCACAGGCCCTAAAAACACAAAGACAAACCACATTTATCTCCTCTATACAGACCACAAAGGAGACCACGTCAAACCTGATGGCGGATATGCAAACCTGAGGAAATCTCCACCAACTGAAACAGACATTAGTACCTTCCTCAGTCATAGGATTGCCACGACGATCTAAAATCATTAGACCTCCCCATACCTAAAGATGAGTTAGAGGTAGTGATACGATCCCTCCCACTAGGAAAGAGCCCAGGCCCTGATGGCTTCACGGCCAAATACTACAAAAGTTTTTCCACCCAACGCAACCCCTCCTTAACTCACTCAACTCTATACTTAAAAACAACCCACTACCCCCACAGGCACTAAAAGCTACTAACCAAACCAGACAAGAACCCGACCCTCTGCGGGAGTTACCGACCCATTTCACTTATAAATATCGACCTAAAACTTTTCACTAAAATCCTAGAAAACCGCCTACACCCCATGCTCCCAGAATTAGTACACCCAGACCAGGCCGGATTTATAACGGGCCGAGAAGCCAAAAATAATACAACCAAACTCGTTAACCTCATGCATCACTCGGAATACATAGACACCCAGACACTACTACTATCCATAGACACCGAAAAGGCTTTTGATAGGGTGGATTGGACCCTGATGCGAGCCACTTTAGAACAGATGGGCTTCGGGCCAAATTGGCTCCAGTGGATGGGAACAATTTACTCCAAGACAACAGCTAGGCTACGATTGAACGGCCAGTTGTCACCCCCAGTATCCATTTCCAGCGAACCGAGACAGGGGTGCCCCCGCTCCCCACTTCTATTTGTTCTAGTCCTGGAGCCATTACTCCAGGGAGTTAGAGACAACCCCAACATCAAAGGCTTCAAACTAGGAGGGGCAGAACACAAAGTATCAGCATTTGCAGATGACATACTGTTCACGGTCTCCGAGCCCATCTCTTCATTCCCGCACATACTTCAGGAAATGTCTCTCTATAGTAAAGTTTCCAACTTTCAAGCCAATTTGAGTAAATGTGAAATCCTCCCACTGAAAGTCCCAAACACAACAAAAACACACCTGAAACCAAACTTCCTGTTCTACTGGGCAACAGAGCATATAAAGTATTTTGGGCTAGCACTTCCCTGCGTTTAACATGACTATATGAAAGTAACTTCCCACCACTAATTCAAGCCATCTCCAAAGACCTCACAAAGTGGCACACTCCACGCTTTAGCTGGTTTTGCAGGATAAATATCCTAAAAATGAATACTCTCCCTAGAATATTATATCTACTTTAAGTCCTCCCGATCACACTACCCAAAACATTCTTTGACACCATACGCAAATTATTTACGACATTCATCTGGTCACACAAACACCCCAGGCTAGCTTACGCGCTGCTTACGAAGCCTAAGGCAGAGGGGGGTTTGGGGCTACCAAATGTGGAAAAATACCACAACGCAGTACTGCTAGCCAGAATCTACGACTGGGCAAACACACACACGACCAAACAATGGGTGGCCATAGAGAATACCTTCTTTCGTGTCCCCATATACACGGTTCCATGGCACAAGTCGGGGCAATCTATCCTCAAGCACAAACAACACCCGACCATTACCCCTACACTGAGAATGTGGTCACATGTGAGACACCAAGCAGACATATCGCCTTACCCCTCACCACTATACCCACTGACCCACAACCCACTCTTCAAGCCGGGGAAAACAGGATCAGCATACCGAGAATACTATACCACCCCATACCTACCTTTACAGCCCTCCTTGACAATGAGGAAATTAAGCCCTTGACATCCTTGATCTCAGAGGGTACCCATACGACTCTACAAAAATTTCATTACGAATAGCTCACTCACTTTCTTCGGACCAACAAATACCCCCAACAAGGAAACCGAGCAATGACCAAATTCAAACTTACTTGCACCCAGCGCACACTCAACAAGAAACAAGTTAAAACCACATACACAATTATACAAGACACTCACCCACCGTCCAAACCACTCTACAGTAAAAGCTGGGAACAAGAACTGCACCTATCCCTCTCAGATAATGAATGTAAACAGATATTCCTACTGACACACACATCTTCCACCAGCCTAGCAATACAAGAAAGCAATTATAAAAGGATAGCTAGGTGGCAGTACACCCCATCCAAGCTTAAACAGTCTTTCCCAGGCACATCCGATCAATGCTGGAGGTACCTTGGAGCCACTGGGGATATAGCGCACATCTGGTGGGCATGCACGGTGATCCAGAAGTTCTGGTCAAGGATCTCCAGTCTCATGGAACTCATAGCAGGTACCACTATACCCTACACACCCAGAGCATTCTTATTTCTTATGCTGCCCTCCCCCATACCTAAAGCCACAAAAACTCTATGCACACATATGCTCACAGCGGCAAACCTGCTCATTCCCCTTCATTGAAAGGCAACTCCACCAACCGTTAGGGACTGGGTACAGAAAGTAGAAAGCAGACTTTCTTGCAGCAGTATTGGGCTTGATAATTCTGAAATCAGGCTGTTGAATAAAGAGTCAGATAGGCTTGCAATAAAGCTGAGGGAGGGAGATATGTATCTAGGTACAGAGATGAAGGGATAGTTATTCAAATAAAAACAAACATATCAATAAAAGAAGGGGGAGGGGTCAGAGGTCAGTCAGAAATCAGAGGGGAAATAGAGGAATTCATATAGGTAAATAAAACAATTACATACGGGGCTAGTAAAACTACACTTTAGCATGACAGACAAGATATAAAGGCAAGAAACTATACAATGCACACAAGGTATATAAAATAAAATAAATGTACAGGGTGGTTAAATTAAATATAAATGATGCTGTGCAGGATAGGGTCTTAGTGTGGTCTTCCAGAAGTCTACCTTTGCGTAGTGCAGACAATCAGCTGATGGAGCTCAGATTTTCTTGCAGCAGTATTGGGCTTGATAATTCTGAAATCAGACTTTGCTTAGTGCAGACAATCAGCTGATGGAGCTCAGACATTCTTGCAGCAGTACTGGGCTTGATAATTTGCTTAGCACAAATGCAAACACCAGTCAAGCCATAAGACTTTTCCCACAGTAATCTTACTTTAACAGTGCTCTCACTACTGCTTGACTGGCGTGTGTATTTGTGTTTAGCAATGTATTAACTATCCACTTACTTCAGGTGGAAGGGGTATACATTTATATATACATAATTACATAATTACTTGTTTTTATTAATTATAATTTGAGGGACCTGCCTAACAACCCAGGCAGACAGTCCAGAGAATTTAATAGGCAAGCCCTATATTTAACCCTGTAACTTTCCAAAACACCATAAAACTTTTACATGGGGGGTATTGTTCTACTCAGGAGACTTAGCTGAACACAAATATGAGTGTTTTAAAAACATAGGCCCAACACACCAATCTTGCAAATTTCAATGTGCAAACATGGAAATGGGGAAAGCCCTACATTTGACCCCTGTAAGTTTAAAAAAAAACATAAAACCTGTATGTGGGGGGTAGTGTTGTACTCGTGAGACATTTCTGAATACAAATATTCCTAATTGATTCCTCTCTTGCAAAGGTCATTAGTCTAATACTATCCTTACCTTTTGTGTCACTTTACCCCACTCCCTTTAGCATGTAAGCTCATTGAGCAAGGCCCTCAACCCCTCTGTTCCTGGGTGTCCAACTTGTCTGGTTACACTACATGTTTGTTCGTCCACCCACTGTAAAGCACTGCGGAATTTGTTGGCACTATATAAATAATAACATAATAATAACATAATACAAATGTGTATTTTATTTCAGTAAAATCCAACAGTATTATGGCATTCACAGTTAAAATTTCATGCAGAACTTGAAAAATAATATTTCTTAATTTCTCATACTTTTTAGATTCTTTTCATATTAACCCCTTAAGGATGGCGGGCATGCTATGCCGTCCTTAGGGACCCGACCCCGCCGACCTATGTACTTATCGCGATTGGGGGACTTACCTGTCATCCCAGGGAGTCCCCCTGCTTCTGTTGCAGCCCTCCTGGGCCATGTGATCGCAAGGTCCTTGCGAGAACCTCACAATCACATGGTCGGCATAGCCGTCCACAGTAGTGCCAGCAAGGGGAGTGCCTGTAATGACAGGTAGTCCCCCTACTGCCTGAAAAAAATAAATAAAAACCAGTTTCAAACAGTTTAAAATAAAATTATATATACTTAGATCATATATATATGCTCTAAGTGTGTGTGTGTGTGTGTGTGTGTGTGTGTGTGTGTGTGTGTGTGTGTGTGTGTATATATATATATATATATATATATATATATATATTATTTATTTGTGGTCAGGGAAGAAGGCCGTATTTATGTGGACCTATACCTCTAATCATTAGTCTAATATACTAAGTCGGTTGTAGTGTGCCGAAACCGACGAACGGGTCAGCCTGTAAATAAAGAGGGCAAAAGAGAAGTATCAGTTCCACACTTAATACGTATACACATACATTATTACCCGAGCTTCCCTACTTTGCCAATTGTTTAAAAGCTTGTCTCAACTCTTTCTCAGGTTGAGGTATGTAACGGTAATATGAACTGGTACGTTTTGGCTGGAGGTTGATGTTGCTGCTCCGATACGAAAGGAGTGGCCTGTATATGCCGTGGGATCGTACCCGATTCTTGTACATAATAATCTCACGTATTTGACGAATTTTGATGTAGTCAGGGGTTGACTGTATATTGTGAGGAGAGGAGCTTGTTTGGGTTGATAAGCCATACCTGCCATGTATTTGTCGAATAGTTGTACGGGGCACCAATGATTGCCGGTTGGGTAAAATTGAATGTCAAGGTGTGGACCCATTTGATTCGTTTGAATGTCTTAATGTCAATGTGTAGTGATCACCTATTATGTTTATGTGTGACACACAGTATATTTCCCTTATTGTTGATGTTGTTTAAGGTGAGTTCGTTGGGATGCATAAAATGCCAGGTATATGGCTGTTTTGAGTGTGTTATTGGTGTGATTATCAAAGGGTTTGGTATCTAACATGTCAGACAATGCCCTGAATTCTCTGCGTCAATTGGTAGCCATCTAGTAGGTTTTAGGTTTTCTAGGCGTTGGATGCCTTTTAGCATATTTTAATGGGGTGTGCTGATAGGAAGTTTTTTTATACTGGAATATGTGTTGCTTACATGATGCTGTATTCCAGTTAAATAGAGTTTTATGGTGTTGTGTGCCAGTTTCAAGTTGAGATGGCAAAAAGAGGTGAAAGCCACCATAGTATCTAACCTATAAGAATTCGTAATGATGTATTCTGAAACAAATTTGTTGAATAACATTAAGGCTCGGTTGTACATGCGTCTGGTGTTTGGGGAAAGTGAGGCCTGTGCTAGTGCCCTCCCGTGCTCCATGAGTAATTTTAGTCCAGGATGAGGTCTCTGAACAGCGGGGCCTTTCTTGGCTGTTCCTCTGCTGTTGGGTGTAGCTGTCTGAAAACCTGTAATTTTGAACAGGATAGTGTGTCAGCTGCTGAATTATGGTGACCTGGCACGTGTATGCAAGTCAGAAAAAAAAAAAAAAAAAATTTTTGTGTGGCTGCCAACCATGTGAGTCTCCTGACCAGGTTCATGATGGTTAGTGAAGAAGACCTGCCTTTGTTCAGAATCTCGCAAGCCGCCATGTGGTCAGAGTAGCATTTGACAGCTTTGCCTCCCCATAAGTGGCCCCAGACTTTAGCTGCTGCCACTATGGGGTAGATCTCAAACAGTGCCGAAGTCTTTGTGAAAGTGGGTAATCCTAGTGCTTTGCTAGGCCAAGCGTCCCTCAACCACCTGTCTTCGAAGATTGCTGTGAAACCTGCGTAACCTGCAGCATCCGTCCATAACACAGGGGAGTTTAATGTCAACGGTGGTATGAACAAGTTTCTCCCATTCCAGTCCGACAGGAAATGGTACCACCTGGTCAGATGCGCCCTAGCCTGAATGTTCAGTGTAACCCTGCTGTTGTTGTTGGGTAAGTTGGTTAACAAACCGAGTAGACGTGAGATGAAAGCTCGTCTCATGGCGAAGTTGTTGATGATATGCCATGTGCTTAGTTGTCTGAGTAACAATGGATTGATGACCCTGACCATGATTTACCCCATTCCACAGGAGCTGCTTTTAGTGGGGAAAGAATTGCCTATTTATGTAAGTGCCAGTGTGTAGGGTAGATGGTAGCCATTTACTGTGTTGATGATATTGGTCTTACTTAACCAAGCTTCAACCCATGCTTGAGTGATAGCTGTAAAGGTAGATCAATGGTGTGTATAGTAAGGAAACTCTTCGGAGGGTATGAGGGAGTTGAGACTTGGGGTAGCGAAGGTGTGTGGTGCCAATAAGTCTATGGTTAGTCTTTGTTTAAGGGAAGATTCCCTTGTGACAATACCAATGTGTTTGTGTTTGGCGCCATGCTGTAAATGGTGGAGATTGAAAAACCCAAGTAAAAACCCCTCTGTTATTCTTGGCTATGAGTGTGTTTACAGCCGATGGTTCTGTGTGCTGACTGTAAGTGAGGACATGCTATATTCCTTGAAGGTGTATGTATGATACCTGTATGGGAGCCCTTTGAAGCTCCGGAGCTTTAGTAAATCTACTACAAGTCTGGAAGGATGATGAGTTAGTAGTGTTGAAAATGGATTGGTGTGTACAGATGGTGAGTACGTTATTTGTAAGTTGTATTGGGACACATGGTTTGTCATGTGCCCTGAATGATTTGAACGTATATGCAACATTCTATATGCAATGCAACGACTCATACCAATTGTCTCTGGTAGTTCAGAGGTGCTGGTACCTGGAGCCTGAGAGTGCTCGTCCATTTGTTTGGGAGAAAATCCCTTCTGTATGGGTACCTGCACAAATAAGCATCTCTACATATTCAAAATGCCAACACAACCAAGGGATGGTCTGTTCCTGATTTACCTGGAATCTCTGGGTCTGACCATCATAGATACAGCATCATAC